TTATGAAGACATAGACAGCGATGTGAAACCACTAGATTCTAATAAGGACTTAGTGATGTTTGTTCTGAACACAGTAGGTATCCAAAATACAGATTTTGAGCAGTCCACACTGATGCTGTTCAGAGTGATCCTGAAGATGTCATGGAAGAAAGCGGCCAAGGTGATGGATATCCAAGATTTTATAGTAAAGATGAAACACCATGGTTGAAAGATAAGAAACACACTCCCAAAGGTAAGACCAAAGCTTGTAATATTGTTACGAATTAACCTGTGGTAAAAGTAAGAGCAAAAGGCGCCAAAACCATATTAGAATGCTGGAAATTGTTTTTCTCGGATTCTATGATCAATAATATTGTAAAATATACAATTCAAAAACTGAATATGATAAGAGTGTTTTATACTCGCCCTAGAGATTTTCCTACTGTTGACTACGAGAAAATGTAAGCATTTATCGGACTTTTGTTCCTTACTGGGGTAAAGAGAGCGCAACATTAAAACACTGATGAAATCTGAAAATTATGGTACAGCTCCAGATATTTTTGCAGCTACCATGTTCAATGAATCAATCAATCAATCAATTCAGTGAATCGACAAAAATTGGACTCAAGATGAATTATAGTAAAACAAAAACCATGACTAATCAACCAGAAGAACTTATTATTACAGTGGCACAAACAAAAATAGAACAAGTAAAAGAGTATATATATCTAGGCTAAATGACTAAATTAAATAAAGAAAATCAGACCGAAGAAATAAAGAGAAGAATAAGATTGGCCTAAGCATCATTCGGAAAACTGTCTTATATTCTAAAGAATTCAAAATACCCCCAATACTTAAAAACGAGAGTCTTCAATAAATGTATACTCCCTGTCCTCACATATGGCTCTCAGACATGGACGTTTACAAAGGAAAATATGGAAAAAATAGCAAAGACAGAAAGATCCATGGAAAGACAATGCTGAACATTAAACTATCAGACAAAAAAAGAAACGAATGGATCCGTAATAAAACAAAGTGGAAGATGTCTCAACCCAAGTAGCAAAGCTTAAATGAAAGTTCGCCGGACACACCCTAAGGCAGAAAGATGAAAGATGGACTAAAACAATTATACATTGGAGACCATGGAATCACAAACGTAAAAGGGGAAGGCCATAAATGCGATGGTCAGATGACCTGAAGAAACACGCCGGGTCAAAATGGATGCAAAGTGCCCAAGATAGAGAGGCATGGAAGAAGGAGGAGGAGGCCTATATCCAAGGATGAATGTTAAGGGCTGTATAGATAGATAGAGATGTTCAAGAAAAGATTTCACCAATAATTCAAGCTGTAAGTAAGATTTGACGATGCCACTAAGAGGCAAGAAAATTCGGCAGTTGATAATCTTGCACCCATTCAAAAAATATATAATATGTTTGTCTCTAACTGTTTATCTGCATACGCTTCTAGATTCTATGTAACCATAGATGTAATATTGGAAGCGTTCCGTAGTCGATGCAAGTCAGACATTTTATATAGCCAATAAGCCAGTTAAATACGGAATCTACACAAATAACCTCAGAAAATAACCTGAAGGACTATTTCTTACTACCCAACGATGCAGCTAGTGTAGTAAAAAGACTTTTACGACCCATAAGTGGAACCGGTCAAAATGTAACTACGGATAAATACTTTTTCTCTGTACCCTAAGGCACTGGTTTCTCTGAACAGACGTAAGCCGCGGCCGTCGACGTTTGGACGTTGCGGCTAACGTCCACACGTCGTCGGTAACGGTTGAGTGATTTCTCTACAATTAATCAGTTTGCTGGTAGATATAAGTAGGTATAGACGTCGATTATTAGGTTAGAATAAAAATACAAAGGACTTTATAAATAATGAAAATGATAATGAAAAAAATGTTGTAGAAACTGTTACTTGAAAAAGAGGAAAATATTGAACTAATAATTAGAACTTTAAAGAGAAGAAGACAGACTCAAAAATATATTTAAAAATAGAGAGAATGAAAGGACATTTAGTAACTTAATTCATACGTATCAAAAATGTGAGAACGAAAAATCCATGCAATATTTTCGACTATCACAAAAGCAGCCACTGTTCGTTGTGCATTTTCAGTTCCATCTCTGTTACTCTTTTACAAACTTATAACCTAGTTTCAGCAATAATATGTGGTGTAAAGTTTGAAACAGTATCAGCCATGGACTCGAAAAATTTATGAATAGCAGATTTTTCTGGTACAGTTTCTGTCTGCGTTAAGAATTTTTCAAACAACTGATCATTCATTGCTGTCTCTTTTCCAAAATACTGAACAAATTTTTATGAGACGTTTCTAACTTTTTTCTTAAGGGAGTGAAAACTTGTTGATTATCTAATCGAGAACTTTGAGCAATTTTTTGATCGCCTTCTGTACTTTTTTGAGTCTCTAATAGATCTTGAGACTCCTCTATAATGTCTTCCGTCCTCGGTGTACCTTCTACAATCTCTGGTTCTTTTAAATTAGTTTTTAAATCTGCAGGACGTTTCACGCTTGTTTCTTCTTCTTTGTTGGCTATAGTTCTTCTCTGTGATTGAACTTTGGTAAGAAATGTTAATTGGGACATATACTTCCATATAGATTGGTTTCTTGCCTGAGCTGTGCCAGCGTCTGTGTTTTTTTTTCATGTTGTGGTCCCTAATATGCTTTTTTTGACATCTGCATCTAAAGATATATCTGTATAGTATTATGATTTGAAATAAATAATGGATTAGTTTCTAAATATAGTTTTTTTACAGACTTTTGGCCACTGCAGAAAGTCTTTGATCACAAGCATTTTAATTTCGCATCTCTCATTGGGACATATCAAAAATATTGGAAAACACATAAGCGATTTGTAAAGACATGAAACCTCTACATTTACCAAAATTAACAAGAAGCAAATTGGAAGTTGTTGCCACAGATTTTTTAGATAAATAGAGTTTTCCCAATTGTTATGGTGATTAGACGGAAAACATTGTCGTATACAATGTCCACTGAACAGTGGATCCTTATTCTACAATTACAAACATTTTTTTTTTCATTTTTTTGTTGGCCCTAGTAGAAACAAATTGTAAATTTCTCTATGTCGATATTGGAACCTATGGAAAAGAAAAAGATAGTGGTATTTTTTCTAAATCAAAATTAGGAAAACAAATTGTAACTGGGACATTTTCCTTTTCGAATGTTGCATTCCGATTGCCGATGTTCCGATTGCCTGGATCAAACATCTTTCTTCTACATTTTTTGATAGGAGACGGAGAGTTCAAATTGTTACCTCGCCTTGTGAAACCTTATCCTATTACTTAAAGTAAAATGGATACAGAAAAACGACAATATAATCAATTGAGTAGATCCCGAAGAACGGTCGAAGGTGCGTCTGAATTACTATCAAACACTTTTCGAGTATTCTGTACGCCGATAATGCTTAAACCAAGCACAATCGATTATGTAATACTTGTTACTTGCTGTTTGCATAATATGTTAATAGATGACAAAACCGAAAACATTCATAATAACAGCAATACCAATAACGGCGTTCCCAATAATTTAATTTCTTTGAAAAGTTATGGTGAAACTGCTGTTGTAGCAGCAATGCATTTAAGGCGCTGGTTTCTCTGAACACACGTCAGCGGCGACGGACAACGGCTGCCGTCAACGTTCGAATGCTATGCCTAAAAGTGTATGCACTTGGTTTCTCAGACACGCCAGCGGTCACGGCTAGCGTCGACGGTTGGCATTTACCCGCTGCGTCTGTCGGTTCATATTGTTTCGAAGCATTGCAGCGGGTGGACGTTATGGCGGACGTAAACAAAATGAAAAAAGAACAAGATGAATTTTTAATTGAATTGGTGCGAAGCCATTTAATTTTGTATGATGCCGCTCATGTTAATTATAAAAATAATATTTTAAAACATAAAGTTTGGGAGGAGATTGCTCATATACTTAAAATTCCAGGAAAGTGTTTTTTTATTATTTTATGTTACAAAAAATATATATTTATATTATATAGGTATACATACAAAAAATGTAATAATTAATTTAAACATAATTTTAAATTATAACAATTATACAACGTGAGACTGCCAAGTGACCCTTCCAGATGGCGAACACAAGTAATCTTTTAACTCATTTCTTAAAAATGCACTGCTGCTACAACAGCAGTTCCACCATTCCGTTTCAAAGAAATTAAATTATTGGGAACGCCGTTATTTGTATTGCTGTTAATATGAATGTTTTCGTTTTTGTCGTTTATTAACATATTATGCAAACAGCAAGTAGCAAGTATTACATAATCAATTGTGCTTGGTTTAAGCATTATTGCCCTATGGAATACTCGAAAAGTGTTTGATAGCATTCCAAACGCACTTTCGACTGTTCTTCGGGCCCTACTCAACCGGTAGTTGTATTGTCGTTTTTCTGTATCCGTTTCACTTTGAGCGTTAGAATATGGTTTCATAAGGCGAGGTAACAATTTGAACCCCCCGTCTCCTATTAGAAAATGTGGAAGAAAGATGTCTGATCCGCATTTTGCATTCGAGGAATGTCACATTTTCAATCTGTTTTCCTAATTTTGATTTAGAAAAAATACCACTATCTCCCTCTTTTCCATAAGATCCGATATCAACATAGAGAAATTTACAATTTGCATCTACTAAGGCTAACAAAACAATGGAAAAAACTGTTTGTAATTGTAGAATAAGGATCCACTGTTCGATGGACATTTTATACGGCAATGTTTGCCGTCTAAAGCACCACAGCAATTGGGAAAATTCCATTTATCTAAAAACTCTTTGGCAACAACTTTCAATTTGCTTCTTGTCAATTTTGGTAAATGTAGAGGTTTCATGTGTTTACAAATCGCTTTTAATGTGTTTTCCAATATTTTTGATATGTGACAGTGAGAGATACGAAATTGAAATGCTAGTGATCAAAGGCTTTCTCCAGTGGTCAAAAACCTGTAAAAAAAACATACTCCCGTACATGGGAGTATATGTCCCAATTAACTTTTCTTACCCAAGTTCAATCGCAGAGAAGAACTGTAACCAACGAAGAAGAAGAAGTAAACGTGGAACTTCCTGCAGATGTAAAGACTAATTTAATAAAACCTGATACTGGAGAAGATACACCGGAGACGGAAGACAGTGTAGAGGAGTCCCAAGATTTATTAGAGAGTCAAAAAAGGACAGAAACTCAACAGAATCCACAAGCTTTCACTCCCTCAAGAAAAAAAAATGAAAACGTCTCATGACATTTTAATCAGTATTATGGAAAAAGAGGCACCAAGTGAATGATCAGGTGTTTCAAAAATTTTTAGAGCAGACAGAAACTGTAGCAGAAAAATCTGCTATTCATAAATTTTTCGAGTCCATGGCTGATACTGTTTCAAACTTTCCGCTACATCTTATTGCCGAAACTAGGCTGGAAGTTTGTAAAATAGTAACAGAGATGGAATTGAAAATGCACAATGAACAGTGGCGTACTACTGCGACAGCATTTGCATCAACCAGAACGTCAGAAACAGCTATGCAATCAAGTGACTCACGTGATAGTTGGTTAGTTTGGTCTGTCTTCTTTTCTTTAATGTTCTAATTATTAGTTCAATATCTTCCTCTTCTTCAAGTAAACGTTTCATTAACATTTTTTCATAATCATTTTCATTATTTATAAAATTCTTTGTATTTTTAATCTAAGCTAATAATCGACGTCTATACCTATTAATATCTACCAGCAAACTGACTAATTCTAGAGAAACCACTCAACCGTTACCGACGACGTGTGGACGTTAGCTACAACGTCCAAACGTCGACGGCCGCGGCTTACGTCTGTTCAGAGAAACCAGCGCATTAAGAAACGAATTAAAAGATTAGTTGTGTTGGCCATCTGGAAGGGTCACTTGGCAGTCTCACGTTGTATAATTGTTATAATTAAAAATTATGTTTAAATTACTGATTACATTATTTGTATGTATTTCATCTTGTTCTTTTTTCATTTTGCTTTCGTCCGTCATAACGTCCACCCACTGCAATGCTTCGATACCATATGAACCATTACACGCAGTGGGTAAACGCCAACCGTCGACGCTAGCCGTGACCGCTGGCGTGTCTGAGAAACCAAGTGTATACACTTTTAAGCGTAGCATTCAAACGTTGACGGCAGTCGTTGTCCGTCGCCGCTGACGTTTGTTCAGAGAAACCAGCGCCTTAATAAACTCTTTATTGAACGATCATTGCTTGACAACGATATGTACTTTACATAAAAAACAAACAACAAATTCCCCCTGAGTTGACAAACGTAAAATAAAGACCTTTATGTAGTAGCATGTTCATATGGTGACAATGGAAACAAGTGTGTACTTGTATCATATGTGTAAAAAAATAAGAATGTACTACTTTCAACACTACTCAGCGATGGTTTCATTGATGAAAACACCAAAGAGCATACCATGAAGCCAGAGGTTATTACTGATTTCAATCTTACAAAAGGCGAAGTGGATGTTGTTGATAAATTAAAGGCAGAATACTCGGTGACTCGATTTAGCAATCGCTCTGGCCATGTACTGTTTTTTGTAGCGTACTAAATATTCCAACTATAACCAGTTAAACATGTCCCATCTTGAATAACGTTCCAATATCCCAAATCTACCTTTTCAGTTGAGACTTAGGATCCAAATATAACCGGAGAAAAGCCATCAGTTTCTCAAGAGGCCTTTCCAACTATAAAACGAAGATATTCTTTTTACACTGCGAGGAAGAAAAGTTTGCCCAACATTATTTTACTAACTGTAAAAAGTTGCCGATATGTAAAAAGCATACTGGTTTAACAAATTTTACTTGACACCGATGCCTAGAAAAGGAAGAAATATAATTTTATGCGTAAGGCGTACATTTTTTTTGAATAAATCCGCTTATTTGTTTTGTTCTAGGGTAATGTATATATTTTTTTAGTTTACCTAGTAGTCTTTTTTGCAGTGTTGTTTAAAAAAAACTTAACCAATAAGTACTAATGAATCATTTATTTGGCCTATACCCATATGTTAGATAAAATCTAACACGCGAGTAATGATGTAATTTTTTAAGGTGCGAGTGATGGAGGGTTAAATTACAAAGTCTTTTAATATTAGGTAAAGAAGATTTGATGTTTTATTAAATATCTTATACAAATTTTTCATTTGTATAAATTGTTATAAAAAAGGGAATGTCAAAATGTGAATTCTGATTTGGTACGAGAAAATCAACCAAATTGCAAGTTATTTCAGCCAGCCTATAGATCCTACATATTTCTCAAAACCATCTCGAGATACCCTTGGATAAAGCCGAATCAGGAGTGATTCTAGCGGAAACAAGCGGACTCTGGAATAAGGATATTAGTAAGATTGTCTTTCGTCGGACTTTCGTTCCGTTTCCTGTTTAAATATATATATATATATATATATATATATATATATATATATATATATATATATATATAAACAACAAAGTTTATTGGGGCTGCAGTCAGAAGTTTGGCCGGGATGTTACAGAAACACTCTTTTGACTTTTGGTCTAGCTTTCGGAATTGTTTAATTTCTTTACAAGACACTGTAATTAGAAAAATGTGTAAATATTTACAATATATCACAAAATGTCAGTGTACTTACTAGTCGTTGAGATTATTTGTAAGAAGCTATAACACTCAACATTTATAACAAACATATACACTATAACTTATACAATAATGGATACAATACATTTTAAAATTTAGTTAAAAATAATAAAAGTTCTAAAAATTCGTTTTCTACATCTTCTTGGTGTGTTTTAACTTACCCATAGAGAATAAAAAAAAACAAAAATAAAAATAGTATGATTAAAAATTCATTAGGAGTTCTTCATATGTTATTAATAGAAGGTAATGTATTAAACCTGTGTTGATGGTATGCAACCTGTTTAGCATGCATGTGTATTATGGTGTGTATATGTACAAGTAAGTCTTTGTGTCATTTTTGATGTTTAGTCAGTAAATAACAATAAATGTTACTCAATTTGTCTATATCGGACTTCTTATTTATACAAGACGCATTGGACTTTATTAAACACATTTCCAAGAAAACACGTTTAGAATGGTTATTTTCCCTTGCCAGAATACAGGAATCCTCTAAATTAAATTCATGTTTTAAACTTAATGCATGTTCTGTCAACGCGCATGCGTTAATTTTTTTGGTTTTTATGTCGCTGCGATGTGAGATCACCCTACTGTGAAAATTATGAGATGTTTCACCAATGTACACGTTTTTGCAATTAGCACACGGTATAGAGTAAACAACATTCGATGATTCCTGTATTGTGAAAGGATCCTTTGTCTTTGTGTACAACTTCGATACCGTTTTTACAGTTTTAGTTGCAATTGTTAAGCCACTAACATTTTTGAAAACGTTCATTATCTTAGGGGTTAGGACTGGAATATAGGGTACGCAACCATATGTTATTTCAGATTGTGGTAGCTCTGATGTGTTGTGTGTCAATGTCGATGTCAGTTGTCGGACCTCATTATTATGAAAATTTTGGTTCTCAGAAAATTGATGAACACATTCATCAGATTCTCAGAATCAGATTTCCAGAAAGGACACAAAGACTTACTTGTACATATACACACCATAATACACGTGCATGCTAAACAGGTTGCATACCATCAACACAGGTTTAATACATTACCTTCTATTAATAACATATGAAGAACTTCTAATGAATTTTTAATCATACTATTTTATTTTTGTTTTTTTTTATTCTCTTTGGGTAAGTTAAAACACACCAAAAAGATGTAGAAAACGAATTTTTAAAACTTTTATTATTTTTAACTAAATTTTAAAATGTATTGTATCCATTATTATATAAGTTATAGTGTATATCAAAAGACTGATATTTTTTGTACACACTTATGACCATCGAGCAAAAAGATAAAAGAGGGAATGTAAAGGTAGTGGGAACAAAAATATTGTTAGACAGGAAGTGCTATCTTGAGAGGCCACTTTAAACAAGGAAAGACAGTCTCTTTCCTTGTTTGAGAAGTCAAATTTAGTTTGGTTATGTTATTGTTTGTCCTAACTGTCACATGAAATTTTATTTATATTGAAGTTTTTTTACCATTGTGTCACTTTTTAGACTATTATAGTTAATATTTAATTTAAACTTTCTCGTTTGAAAATATTTTATAGCTATTGTTAATAAGTGTTGGAAAATTTAAATTTAGCGCCTTTGCATTTCCGGACATATCCGCCATCAGAGGCCACTTTTTTGGTCTCCTTTTCATAACGATTAGATTCCCTCTTTTATCTTTTTGCTCGATGCTTATGACAAGTCGAAAGAAAATGCAAAAAAGTATTTTTGAAGTGTGTATATTTTAGGCAATTCCTAGCTGAGCGCTTTCGGCTTTACAAAGCCATCATCAGAGCTATGGTCAATTTTTTAAATACCACTACAAAGGAGAGATCTCATTTCCTTATATTTCAAAATTATGATTTTTTTTAGTTGTTGGAATTCTTAAAACATATAAAAAACATATAAAAAGCCGACACTGGACTTCACAAACACGTTAAAAAATTGAAAAAAAATTTTGTCATGGTGCGGGTAAGAACCCAACCATTGATTGGTGTGAGGGGGTAGACAGAATAGAACGAGTTCTATTCTGTCTACCTTTTGTTTAAATTATTATCACTTTTGCTAATACAAACGATTTCCAAAAAGTTCTTTTATATTTATTACTTTCATTACATAAAATTTTAATATTATCAAAATCCATAATATGGTCTTTTGATATTTAATATTTTGATAATATTAAAATTTTATGTAATGAAGTAATACATTTAAAAGAACTTTTTTGGAAATGGTTTGTATTAGCAAAAGTGATAATAATTTAAACAAAAGGTCAGAAATTTAAAATTTAAGCACAATTTATAATTATATAATTTCTATTTAATTTATATATATGCAGTCAGTAAAATATCACATTTTGAATTTTCCATGTATTTGTTACATTTTTTCGGGCATCTATCAATGGTGAATAAATCTTCTTCTTTTTGTTACTAAACAAGAAGAATTTTTTAAACAAAATTTTATTTTTGACAATATGTCAAAAATAAAAATTTTTAAGTTAGTATTTATGACATGTAGGCTGTTTGTAGCTATTCTATTTTTGTTTACAAATTCAATTTTTTTTCTTAAGAAACTTCATCAAAATTTTTCATAGAAACATTTATTAAAATAAGACATTTTTTTATTAATATTTTTTGTATTTAATATGTAAGCAGTAGTTTTATATAAAAAAACTTATTTTATTTGGTGAGTTAACAAAAAATTTTTATTTCTAGTTCAACTTTGTAAGATGTTTTGTATTTGTTAGAAGCTCTTGATAAAAATTGTAATCACAATTGAAAGCTCGAGTAAAAAATAGTCAACAAATAGCCCTTTTATTGACTCCAACCCATCAAAAACAGTGTTATATTTTTTCCAAAACGAGTCACAAGTACTTCTTTTTTCTTACTCTTATATATTATATATATATATATATATATATATATATATATATATATATATTCATCTTATTATGAATTGCAAATTATGACAGTTATGATGTTTTTTAAATTCAAATTTGAGAATAGAAGAGACCTTAGGCTTAATTTTGAAAAACTAATAAATTTCTCTTAATTAGTTTTTAATCTCGGGGCTATTTTTACCGTTAATTTTTTTACGTGGCTTCAAAGTAATATTTATACTATTACCTTTGAGGGAAAGATGGACAATGGGAACATAAAAAAAATAAGAATCGGTTATTTATGAAAGGCCTCATGTCAGTGACAAGGGGCTTGTCATAAATAAAAGCACTGTTGGCAACATTGCGCTGTCAGCTGATTGTTGACAGATATTCAGTGTTTGGAGATTAATAATATTAACCTCTTGTTGTTTTATTTTATAATCAACTGTTAAACAATAAAGTAAAATATTTCTCTTCAGTTATGTATTCTAGTTAGTTATTCAAAGTGATTTAACTTATGTTTTGAAATAATGTCAAAGAGTGAAAATGTCGTTGAAATAGAAGCAGATAGCAATAAGCGAAAGAGGGATGTTCGTTACCATGAAGAACATACATTTAATCGAAATAAATAAGCTAGATGTCGTGGTAAAAAATATCTAAATTACAGAGGAAATCTTGTTGAACCACGCAAAACAGGATTACCATGCTCGTATGTTACGTTTCATCTTATAATGTACTATTTTAGATAGGAAATAAGATAATAATTAGAAGTCAGTTTTAAAACCTTGCTTAGTTCCACAATAGTTACCTTTTTCAAATGTTGCAGATGCAGATTGAGATGTTTCGAGAAGTTATGTCAAGAGGACGAAGTTGAAATTTTATGCAAAGGGGCAAACTTTGCAAACAAAAATGAGCAAGACCTTTTTTACCAGTCCTTTATAGAAGCAGGGCCCGTACGGATGAGGAGGTCAAGATTAAAACAAAACACTTATGAAGATAGAGCTGAAGATGTTTTTTTAAGTCTAAACATTCTGTTGGGCATAAAAGTTCTTTTAAATTCTATGTCTTGCTTCGTGAGAAAAGGATCATCATCTGCAAAAAGGCGTTTTTTAGTCTGCACGGTATTGGTAAAAAAGAGTAAGAAGACTGCAATATCTTTTTGTAAAAGGTAAGTCTCCTAGAGATTTAAGAGGCCAACAGAATAATCGGAGGACCCTTCTACATAATAATACGGATCTTGTAAAAGAACACATTCAGTCATTTCCACTGAAAACAAGTCACTATTCTTCTAATGAAGTAGAATATCTAGATGCTAAGCTGAACATAAAAAAATGTTCAATTGTTAGTATAGTAGAAAGTATAGTTTTTCCTACAAACTTTTCAAAGAACATTTCAATTATAGATTTGGAAGGCCCAAATTGACACTTGTTGTGAATGTGAACTGCTCAATACTACAATAAAAAATCCTCAGTTAAATGAAACAGCAAAACGAGTTGCTGTTGCGTAGCTACTTGTGCATAAGAGGCGTAGCAAAAAGTTTTATTCATCCCTTCCAAAAAAATCCACAAGGAAAACAATTCCTGTTGCTGGCTGTATACCACGTATCACAAAAAAGAGGTTAGTCTTTGTAAGTGGGTATATTTATTTAAAAACCCTTAAAAGGGCTACATCAAAAAAACAAACGTTTTCGGACAAAAAGTGTATCATCAGGTTTAAAATCGCTAGGTTAAAATGCCTGAGCCACCAAAATACATGGGTAAAAACCCTTTAAATTACATATATTTATAAAAGATTATACATCTTGATGTTAAAATACTGTGATGTTCAGTATTAAATTAAATATGACTTCAGGTACCATACATTGTAAAATTGAGTTCCAGAGCCGGGGAGAAAACCTCTACGCACGGAGAACAGCTGGAAACTAGAAGTTTTTAGAAGAAACTTCTAGTTTCCTTTCTAATCTAGAAAAATTATCTACGAGTATGGAATCAGAGACCCTGGTGGAAGAAAGTCTTATTGCTATTAGCAAAGATAAAGATGTTAGAATCAATTAAAGTGATAATGTATTAATTGACTTCGGCGAAGATGTTGCCGATCCTGATTATGAAGACAAAGATTTCAAAATAAATAATACTAATAATGTAGTAATAATTCATAATGTAGTAATAGATAGTGACGATGATGTTGCTGATCCTGATTACCTGCCTGATTCAAGACGTAATCATAATGTGGTAAGTAATTGAGGTTTTTTATGAAAACAAAAAAATTATATGGATTAAATTTAAGGTAAATAATTATTATGATGACCCAACTAAACAACAAGTACCATTACCAATAATTCCACAACCTTGAAAGATAGGAGAGACCAGTCCATTAGATATTGAATCTACAGAACGACCTAAGAGGGGTAGAAAAATAAAATTTGGAGAACACAACCAATCTAACAAGAAAATTAAGGAAATACAAAAATTTGCCATATACAAATATAAGGAACAAGAAGGTATTACCTAAAGTATTTGTTGAATATAATTGTAAATGTTTAAAAAAATGCCACAACAAATTTCCAAAGAAACCAGGGAATTGGAATTTAATAAGTATCACAAGTTAGGTACATGCAATGCTCAGATAATGTATATAATTGCTTGTGTAAAACAAAACACAAAGAAAAGATTTTATACCACATTAAACTAAGGTTTACAAAGGAAAATTAAAATTTTTAGTCGTACCTATACTTTAGCAGGAAAAATAGTGTGCCGTGATATATTTGTAAAAACATTAGGTATTTCTCCCCAAAAAGTGACCGTATCTTAAAAAAAATGGATAGTTCTGATAGCATTGTTGATCAAAGAGGACAAAGCAGAGAGGTTGGAATAAAACTCCTTCTGAAGACCTCAATCTTGTAATACGTCATCTAAACTCAATTCCAACTTACACATCTCATTACAGAAGAGCAAATTGCTCTGATACCTTATTCCTTCAGCCAAATCTGACTGTAAGAAAACTGTATGAGTTGTATACTGCAATGGTAGTTGAAAAGTATTCTGTAAGAAAATGTGTTTCGTTTGAAAAATATAAGTCTATTTACTTAAACAAATTTCATTTACGAAAAAAAATCGCTTCACAAAGATACTTGTTTAAAATGTGATTTATTTAACACAAAAATAAAAAACGTTGCAACTGAAGAAGAGGAAAATTATTTAACTGACGAACATCAGAAACATGTTGAACTTTGGCAAAATGCAAGAGCAAAAATGAGGGACGATCTAAAAGAAAGTCAAATGTCCTAGGAAATGGAATGCATCACATTTGATTTACAGAAAACTCTCCCACTTCCAAGAATACCTACAAACATCGTTTTTTATAAACGACAACTATGGGTATATAATTGTGGTATACACTTAGATCAGAAGACAAAGGTTACTGTTATGTTTGGATGGAAGGAGAAGGCGCGGAGCTCAAGAAACTGGAAGTTGTTTAATTAATCACATGGAAGAATACCTGAAACCTGATGTGAAACATTTAATACTTCGTAGGAGCGATTCGGAGCGATTCATGTGGGGGGCAAAATAGAAATATTAAAATCGTTTTGCTATTGAAACTCTTTTTGTCAAAACATCCAACTTAACAGAAAATTTCACAAAGATTTCTAGAACCAGGTCATTTCTACCTGCCAAATGACACCGATTTTGGCAAAATAGAATCCGCTCTTAAGTTACAGCAGCGAATTTTATACACCAGAAGAGTACATGGATGTCATGCGTTCGTGTCAAAGGAAGAAACCAATGATGGTTACTAGAATGAAAAAGGAAAATTTCTATAGTACACAGAAACTTGAAAACTTATCGTCAATAGAAAATTATCAACAGATAAGAAGCCCATAAATTGGCTTAAAACCAAAGAAATTTTATTAAAAAAAGAGAACCACCTTTTTACTTGTGTTGCATTCAGCAGCGTCATAATTTTGTTGTTGAATATATTGTTATTGTTTGGCGGCTACCATCTGGCTGCCGTCCGCAGTGTCTCCATTGGTGACCTTTCTAGCACCATCCAAAAAAGTTTTCCGAGGTTACACACATTAATAATATCTCCCAATATTGATATTCCACCGCTTGCTTTGTGGTAAGAATTAAAATGTAAGTTGCATTTTTTGTTATTTTTAAGTTTTTTCCTTGTAGAGCCATAATCTGTGGTTATATTTCTTTAATTAAGAGTTGAAGCGTGTCGATGTGTGTAAATAATTTTTTTTTATTAGAAAAAGATGTCGCATCCACCAAAAGGTTATTAGCGACGGAACAAAATACAAAAAACAAAGTTAAACACCTACAGATTGTACAAAATGTTTATGGATCTAAGATAATTCACTATATTGTTACAGGAACAGTTTTTACCTAGAGCCTGTAGTAGAGCGTTTGGGATCTTGTAGTGCTGTCTTTCTTGGTCATATTTACTAAAAATTGTTAAAAAATGTTCGACTGTTAATCGGACGTTACACTGATCACATATAGGTGGATTTTTCTTTGTGAAAAGGTAGGAGTACGTTAATCTGGTATGTCCCTAGGCGTAAACGCGCAACCGCAATTTGTTCTCGTCTATTGAGCGACGATGGAAACCACTGAGACACATTATTTTTGATTTTATTTAGATTGGAATTAATTTTGAGACCACTCATTTTGCCACAAACACCACACTTTATTTTTAAAATAAGCTTTTAAGTCACTGGAAACACACTTGTCTATCGGCTGTGACAAATCACTTAAAATTGCCTCTCGTGCAGTCCTGCCAGCTTCTTCATTTCCTGTTTTTCCGAAGTGTGAAAAAACTCAAAAAAATTGGACGCTTTTTCCATGTTCATAAGAAATAATAATATCTGGAGAATATTTAGATAAAAGAAGTTGTAGCATAGGGAGACGATGAAAAAAAATCCATCAATGTTTCATTAAAGTATCGAGTTGAATGTTGTTAACAGATTCGGAATTAGATGATACTGAACAATTGTCTACAGAAGAGTCACTATCTAAATCAGAAATCTCTTTCTCTAAATGGTTGTGTAGTTTCTTTTGAAGTTTCGTAAACTTGCTTTTTGTAGATCTATCATTTGCATATTGATAGCTGCTTTGTAAAAGATGGAGTAAAAACTTCCATATCAGTTGTAAATTCTTTGACGACGCTAATAGTGCCGGAGGAGCCTTGGACATTATCAATCAGTAAGGACAATTGGTGGTAATTTAAAATGAATGGTGGGGTATGATTATTAATGAAATTTTCAAGAGTTTCCCGTGTAGGTGGGACTTTAGATGAGCGCGGTTTTTTTAGTTTTAGAGGGTTTGGGTTTGGCAAACAGATTTTCTGATGAAATTACTGAGTCTGAAGGAGGCGTGACGATCTCACCAATACTGCGTTTTATGGAAGAACTTGTGTTTTCGTAATTGCTATTAGAGTTTTCACTTAGATGCTGTTGCTTTATTACATTCGGAAGTACTGGAGCAAACTCCTTGGTAGTGACAGAACTCAAGCTTGAAGTTTTATTTGTAAGATTGGTTGAAATGGTTGTTTCAGAAAATTGTCTTGATGTATCAGTTTTACAAGAATTTTCTGCAGTTGTATCTAATGAAAAAGGAGCTGATAGATTGGAGGATATTGCTTCCGAAGTCTGTGAAAACGGTATTGCTACTGAATGAGGTTGATTGAAAGTGTTGTTATGAGTAGGAGCGTTAGTAATTTCTTTGTCATGGAGATTTGTAGGTGTAGGTGATATGCTTGGATTTGATAATGGATAACTTGATGACTGCTGGGTGTTTAGTACCTTGTGTAGTATACTTGTTGAAGCTGTTTGATTTGGTACTTCATTGTTTGACTCAATATGAGTTGATTCCGTTACTGAACTGTTATTGCATTGGGATGATATGTGTCCTGTATTTTTGCAAATAAAGCAGGTAAGTGTACCTTGTGACAAAAATATGCGGTAAGGTGTTTAATCGAAATTTATTAGAATAGAATCTGGAATTGGTGATGTTATAGGGCGTATATAAACTTGCCTCCGAAAGCTCAATATGTGACTATATTCGGGGAGAGTTGAGCTAATTTTCAGAAATGATATTGGGGAAATAAGCTTTAAGCCGATATTCTGTAATTCTTCAACTAACACTTGATGAGGAATTGATGGGCAGACTCCAAACAAGACTAGTCTTTCTGCTGGAAAGACAAGTCTTCGTGCTCTTACAACTTCGCCGAGTACTTCTATAGAGCCATGTTGTGTCATGAAGTTATCTACTACGGTTTTGTTTGCCAAATACATGCAGATTCCATTATGAGATAATCTAGATGAAAAAATAATATTTTTTGGGTTGATGATTGTGCCCAAAGGAATGATATAATCCTGCAGTTTAGCATTATCGATGCAACTAAATAAAATTGCTTGGGTCTTACTCGGAAAAGAGTGTGAAGCGGCTGATGCATAACTGTTTGTGATATTCGAACGTTGATTTACTGGACTGGTTAGATCGGAAGGTGTGTTTACATTCTGTGAAGTCATTTTAAGCTGTTGCGGCGAAGGCCTTACTTCGACTCTGATAAGTGAAAAACTAACCGCATGCTACTATAAGGTACTTATAACAGCTAACCTCACAAAATGATTGTACGGTAGTATATATTTATTATTGACGTTTTCTTTTCACACTAATAAAATAATAATTACGTATAGATAACTTACGTAGTAGTATCTAGTAGATAAACACTTTAATTTTAAAAAACTATGTAATAAAACCACTTGTTTTTATTAAAAACTAGGAGTACGATATCAGTACAACTTAACCATATCTTGTCAGGCCGGTCTTGTGTGTAAATAATTCTTGTATATTTCACTGAATAATATCCATTTATAATAATTATTTTTTTAATTGGTGCTTTTTGAGAAGCATCTGTATCTTCGGAGTTTTATCTTTTTTAATTTGTTCTATATTTTACTCACGACGTATTTTGATCTTTATTCTTCTAATTCTAAATTTAATGCATCTGTCTGCTAATTTACAGTAATAAGTCGTTATTTATGCAATTGCAGTTATAAATATATTTTGGCCAAAAAGAAAATAAACATTCGTTTGGTAATTCTTTGGGAGCCTTAAAGGAATGATTTGAATATGGTAATGATGTGATCTATAGAACATATTATACATTCAGCTTTCATGTATTTAAAATTAGTTATGGGTTTTAAACAGTAATTTAAAATTTAAAGTACTCGAAAGGAAAGATACTCTTTTACTTAAGTATCCGCGTCCTTATTATTCCACACAGTGAACTCTGTACTGCGAATATTCTCCCATTTTCTGCTTGAATAGTAACGCTTTTTTGATATC